CCACTATGAGCCACCAGTGACAGACCCGCGTATTACATACACCGTTGTCGTAATCGCTGATTATGCGTGTACAATATAGTTTGCGTACATGGAAAATTACATTATATTAGGTGCCCTCTTTTCGCTACGTTTTTATAGCTCGTTGAAAAAATGTTAGTACTTCCATCCAAAAGAAAAAAAAAAAAGGAATTAGAAGCTTATTTTTATTCTCAGTCGTATATTATATTATTATTTTTAACATTCGCATTAACGTGAAATAGTTTAGATATAATAAAATAAAAGATTTTCAAACAATTTTTGTTTTTTTTTTAGATTCATAAAAATTATCTATGTTATATTATATTGATTGTTTGACATATATATATAAACATATAGTGTAAAAGTATAAAACATACTTACAACTATTGATACTGTTATATTATGTTACGTTGAAATATATATAAAATATATTTTGACACAATATAGTACATTAATACCTATAGATATAGCTTGTAGAGAAAAATAAATTTCAATTTATCATTACACATCTAAACAGTAAAATATCACAAGTCAATTATTAGTAAATCTACCAATCTAATTTTGAACTAAAATTTTTGTTGACATTGAATCACAATCATCTGGATTCAGTTCTAGTTTCGTAATAAATATGAATAGGAATAAAACTAATCATGAAAATGAAAAAATGAACTTCCATAACCATACGATGGCGTAAAAATGTGTCGGCTATAGGTATAATCTTCTTTTTTTTGGATTGAAAGTAAATTATAAATTCTGTAGTTATTCATTATGGAAAATTGTCCTTAAAGTACAAACATTTTTGAATTTATTGCGTATCTTCCGTTTACTATAGATATTAGATATAAATATATTTAGACTATTAATTTTTATTAATCTGGTGTTAACCCTTTAGAATTGTAGAATATATATTTTTATTAATATCTTATAAATATTTTATTGGAAATGAGACTTAGTATAAGTATGTAGGTAGTGAGTTATCATAAAATTATATGTTATTAAAAATACTTTTTAAAGATTAAATTAAATTTATTGGACAAAATAATATGTAATATAATATAATATTAAAGTTTTGTATTCTTTTGATAAAAAAAAATGTGTGTATAAAATTTAAAGCCAACTACAAATATTTYGTGTAAAATCATATATCTCTTTACGGATAAATGTGAACTACCACAATATCATATAGTTGGGGAACTGTATAGCTTATACGTGTATAATATATATTATATAGTATAGCCGTATAGGTAACCTACCTATTTAATACCTACATTGTACAAGAACGAAATTTCACGAATTTAATATTCGAGCATATTATACTCGTTCAGCCATATTATTGCGACACTACTATAGGACACATTTTGTGGTGTGACGTTTGTGGTTATATAGTGTTGTTAAAGTGTTTAGCATGACGCGGGTTCAGTTTACCGTGGCAAATCTGCGGTTTTCGTGTGGATACTGGAGAGGGAAAGATTGGAAAACGCCATTGTGCTTACGTGTGTTTTTATTATTTCCCCCACCAGCCGAGTGCCCAGTTTTCGCGTACGAAACTCGCGATAGATAAAAAGAAAAAAAAATACAACTGAGCCAATATTTATACATATTCGGCTTTCTCGGCGACAATACCTATGTATATAATATAGTACTCCGTCTATATATTTGTACGCCACGGTAACCATAATGAACATGGTAATTAAATTTTCTCGTTATACTTTGTCATCGGATACTGCACGCGAAGCCGCCGTACGAGCTCGGCGCTTGAAATGCTACAAACTCGACATATGCGACGCAGATAACATCTTCGGATCACTGAATATTTTACTTATGATGATGATGTACGGTCCACACCCTCGGTCGATTTGTCACATTTAATAAACCGTCGTCGACGGATTTTCACTAACTCTCCGACAGGGAGGGGGCCAGTTTTTGGGGTAGATTGTCATCTCGACCACAACTATCCCGTCATTAGGCACGGCGACGTTTATATTATCGAGTAATAAAAACCTGCAGTCGATAGGAACTATATGCGCATAGCGCACATACGGTGTGCGCATGGTATAACGTAGCGACTGATAATATGCGCTACGATTCCGGCGTTCTGTCGCACGCGAAAAACTCCAAAGGGGTATAATTTTCCACGGTTTTCCGGTCGAAACGAAAGGCGGCGGGCAGGCGACATGGCCGGTGTGTGGATGTGTGTGTGTGTGTGTGTTAAGGAGGAAGCCGAGAAAAGTGCCTTGGTCGGAGGAGAAGACGCTGACGGGGGTGAATGGCTGCTCAAAGGGTCGACGAAGAAAAAAAGAAGGGAGAGATCGATATTGCAAAGAATCCAGCGCACGTCTCTTTCCCCGTTTGCCGTGTCGGCGTGTGCGCGTATACATATAATATATATATATATATATTCGACTGCGATCGACAAAAGTGTTTTTTTCTTCTATTTTCTTTAAGCACATATATATATATGTATACACACACACACACACATACACAGTTTTTATTCGTTTTTCTGTACGTGCACACAATTATATGATCCTGCCGTATTCTAACGTGTCTACCAAAACAGCTCCTGCAGCAATCTAGCGTTGTTGAATAACTGCAGCGTTAAACACGTAATAAACTTGTTGATGAGAGACTGTATATGATTTTTGAAATGTATAGTGTTTGGGCTATGCAGCARCTAGCCACAACGTCGTCGAGCTGACTCGGAYGCTCGCGCTCGTTTGAACGCCTTATATGCGCGTTACGCCACTAGCTTAGCTGCTGTTAGTTCGAAACTCGCCACTGTGAAATGTGATTTTCGGATGGTGCGCGCCGTTAAACGCGAGGGACGGGTCATTGAGTCATCGAGTCATCACGATTCCGTGCACAGAGTGTTATCGTTTTCAGATTAGGCTTTTTCGACTCAATCGCACGGAAATGATAAATGGCCGTATATACTGGTGTGTACACCGAGTGTGTGCGTGTATACACTCGGGGCGCGCGCCCGCCACTGGAATAAAAAGACCTCTCCCCGACGTGAAGTGCGAGGGTGTGAAAAACGCACACAACAGGTTGCGCGTTTCCGCGCGACTTTATGAAGATAATGATATTAATAATAATAACACGACCCGATGATTTTCGTAGCACAACAGATGTGCCGCCGCCGCCGGTCTTTCCGTTCCGACTGGCCGTCAATGATTAACAGCCTCGGACGACGACAACGACGACGATGATCGATAACAATACGAGTTTAGTGAAGCTTAAACATTGTAATGTGTTGTGTATTATTCGATGTTCAAGGGTCTAGTCCGGGTTTTTTTTCCAACACTGAATATATTTAAAACAGACATTGTCGACGAACATTATTTTATCGTGTATCGTGTTACTGTAAGGGGTGTTTACGTGTATTTTTGTACTCGATTAGGCGTACATCATTAGTATAACAAATAATAATAATAATTCGTTTAATTAATAATAGTTTAACTGTTCAATCCTTGATTTTTTTTTCACTTTTTATTTAGCTCAAAAGTAATAAAAAAAATATTTAAGACGTAACTAACCTAACTATTTTTACGAAAGATTAGAAAATTTTTTTTAAATTAGACCTAACGTAACTTCCTTCCTTCATGTCACTCTGCAAAGTCTTTATATTATTCTTATATCATATTTACTTATTGTATATAATGTACAGATTGTAAATTCTCAATAAACGCCATAATTTATAAAAAAAAAAAAATTAGAGAATATTCTACTGTGTATTGTTAAATAATATAATAGGTATACCTAATATGAATTTTTATCATTATACAATAAATATCGCAATAATTAATTTCTGCATATTATGCATGTTCGATAAGTTTTAAACGTTTATGTACCTATGCAATAGTTATTTTTCTTTTTCGAGCGGGATATTATTATAGTTTCATTTTATATTATATTATTACATATTATAATGTTATAATAGTATTGGTTATTATCAGTAATTTGAATTGGAAATTTCTCGACGCCAAGATACCATTACGTAATTTCCCGTAGTCGTTTTCACTGTAGCCTGTAGGTCCTTCTTTGTTCCATGACGAATTTTATGAATCTACGTTTGATTTTTTTCGGACATACAACCTATCGAAAACCACCTTTCGGATACTATTAGCCCATGAAATAAAGTGCTATTTACGTTGCAAATCGGACAGTAATACGGTAATATCATCAGTGATAAATCGTAAAACTCCGTAGAACTTCAAAAGTTACGTATACTTTCGTTTGATACAGTCACATAGTATATTGTAGAGCTCTTGTGACCCTCATAGTAAATTGTGCTTACTTCAGTTGTATACTCGTATATATATATATTTATTATAGAGTTGTATTGGTAAGGAATTTTATTAAAACGCCGCCGAATCCCACGGGTGCAGTCGCTTCTACTACTTTGCGATTAATAAAAACATATATACTATCAGCCCCCTCCTTCGTTCATATTCCAATCCCCGGGCGTTACACCCTTTTTATTGTTATTGCTTTCTATCACCATCTAATCATGTAATCTCTAATGGCCCCTCGATCAAGTTACTATAATAACCTAGTGGTCTTTATCTTAATCAAACAAGTTGTTGAATTAAAATAAAGGGAATAAAACGATATTTTTGACATATGGGCTATTATTATTAGGGTTATACGAAAAAAAAATATGCAAATATCCATAAATCGAATTTTAAAAATATACAATAAAATTGTCATTTGTCTTTCATTATAATTATTTTGTTTAAAATACAAGTGTTTTCTGTCTATACATTACAAACGTATTAGGTATATTGGGTTATTATAGTATAGGTTTGAGTGTTATATTTAATATTAAAATATGATATGTAATAATATTGTACTTATGTTCACACATTAAGAAATAAGTTTAAATGGTACGTGCATTATTATCAATTTTCACCATATTATGTATTGAATAATTAAAAAAAAAAAATAAATATATATATATTTATATAATAAATATCGCTTACCGATTGATTGACGAAACGCTGGGTACGTTGTCTTGAGTACAAACACCTTCTGCCAACAGTCTGTCTCGGATTTCCCAAGCAAACATAGTAGGATTCTCTCGTTTGTAGTTCGCAATGGAATCTACAACAGGCGCAGTAGCCACTTTTGGTTTGCTACCTCCAATTACTCCAGCTTTGAAACTTCCAGTTTCGTAATACCTGAAAATGGACAAAATGTGAACATTGGATAACACAATATAGTATCACATTATTATTAAATTTTTAAGATTGCGATGGTGGCTACGCGCGTTTTGAGTTCGTGACTACCGCATTTGGTTTTCTGTAAAAAGCACATCTCTGATTGCTGCGAAAAACAATGCGTCCTTTTTACCATATGAAAGGCCTTCTCCCTGCGATGGTGGTCATCACCAGGATATGGAAAATGACCGTTGGTCATTATATGCATATGAAGATGCCCTACTTCCGGGACACGATCCCGTTTAAAACAAAGGAGCTATCTAGTGATTATTTATTATAGTAATAATATACGCAGATACACACATAACATTATATATTATCATTGTGTTTGGAAGATTGTAATTTTTTTCGTCCTTTCCGTGTCCCGCGTATAACAGTATAATATAGAAAATGCAGATTTTAGTCTATTCATGTAGGTCCGACCATTGTTTCCGGTGCTTTTAAAAACGACGCTGAAAAGTATTTGCATGCCGGGCGTGGAACGGTGGAACATGGTGAAATGTTAACATCGCTGACGCTATTTAGTCCGAGTATTGAAAATAATGTACAACGCTTTAAAAAAAAAAAAAAAATAAAGAAAAAATTATAACTGCTAGGTAAAAATTAGTCAGCTTGCTATTAAAACGGTTCAATTAACACGCCGCAGTGATCGCGTTGACAATATTGTCTCGACGCATTAAAAACGTAAAGTTCAGAGTAGCTTAATTGGAACAAACGAGTCGTTAAATTAGAACTGTGTTTCTAAAGCGTTGTATCTTTTCGACCCCAAAATCTTTGTATCTAAAGTGGTATTTATAGTACATAGCAGTTTGTCAATGTCTACACCTGAGCCAAAATCACGGAGAGTCGAAAATACGATCCGGTGTATACGAATCACAAAGAGGTTAGAGTCATTTTTTTTTATCCCAAAAAATACACAGACTCGAAAATATATTATTCTTGGACGCGTGGTCTGTATAGCGAGATACGATTATTAATTCGCCCACACCTCCCCGTCCCGGCCGGACCCTCCACACCGTCGACCAGGTTACAGCCGTCGCTGTTTGCGTCCCCACGCGATTGTATAATATTATTATTGTATATCCCACTGAATAAAAATACCTATATGATGGCGTGCAGTTTATGTTACGATCAAGGAGCACGTATTCGTCGTAATAATGTAAACGGACACAGAAATATCGCGAAGACGATTGTTATGAGTTTATGACTATTACACGACATAGTACGCTGCAACCRCGGTATAAATGGTATAATATTATACCCTG